TAGAGCAGCCTGCGGCAGGAGGTGGGGAGGGGGAAGGGGAAAGCGCCGTTTGAGAGTCGGCCTTGCCTTCCGCCTCCCCCCAGTCCTTTCCCTCTGGTCTTACAAGCAAGAGTTTCTCTCCCCCGCCGAAGCTGGGCCTCGTTTGAGGCCATAACGCGCCTGTCCTGGCTGCAGGGAGAACCGGTGCCGCGCAGCGGAGGCAAAATCCCCAGGTTTGGGGACTCTCCGCTTTGACCACGCTGCGGCGATGGGGTTGCTGGAAAAGAGAAAGGTTAAGGGAGTGGAGGTGGTGGGTCCTGGGGTTGTGGGAGAGGCCTGGGGTCGGGGGAGCAGAAACTCACCCTAGCTGCAAACCTTCTTGTGCCATTGCAACTTGGCGCGTGGTATCACAGAGGTGCGGAGGAGGCTTTGTTAAATTTACAGAAGTTGAAAGGGAACAAAACCGATAGATGCAGTTTTCTCTCCAACTAAAGTATGAGCTGGGAATAGGAAAGAGTTCCCCTTTCCATTTGCACGGGCGGGAAGGAGGACTGGTTAGAGTGTCGCATATAGCTCTTCATAGTTTTGTTAGGGTTTAAGTGATACCTGTTTACTTACTGAGTTGTGCTGTGTTTCTGCCGCAGGAATAGCAGGTGTACACCCAAGGCACTTTGCCTACCATCCTCTTGGAGCTCTTTTAAGCACTTGTCAGTGGGAGACCAGTCTCGAAAGCATACGTGGAAGTACCTGGTGTCCATTTCTCGTAGTTGAATGAAGTGAACCAAAGCAGCCAGTTTATTTTTTTTTAAGGGGAAATTGTGAGGGCGAGCACTTGTTTCAGCAGTGTGCGGGTGGCTCTGTGCATGTTGAGAAATTCATATCTGGCTTCTTATTTTCAGGAGGATCTTGAAGCCCTGATAGCAGAATTCCAGAGTTTAGACGCTAAAAAGACCCAAGTAATTGAGACATCCTGCCCACCCCCCTCACCCAGGTAAGAGGTTGCATGAGACTTTGGCAATCACTCATACAGCTGGTGCTGTTAATGGAACTTACCTGTGTGAAGTTATTTCCTGAGAATGGAAGGTATAATATCTGGCCGGGCTGATTTCTGGAGTCATAAAACATCGGGTAAACTGAATCCCTGAGTTAAGAAAGGGAATAAGAGCATCTCGTGCCTTAAAATCCTCCCATCACCCCACTAAAAAGAGGCAAAGCAGAGTTAGATTATAGGGCTTTGAGAAGAGTAAAAGTTAAGAGGAACCTTTGGATTTAGACTAGAAAGCTGGAGGGGTTCAAGGGGCAAAAAGATATGTCATGAGGTACAAGACACTTGATCAAGCGTAGGCCAGGAGTCCGTGCGCTGTTGGGTTCTGTGTTTCTGGTTGCTGTGGCTTGTTAAAAGCCCTTCTCTATGATACCTGTTTTCCTCTCCGTGTAGTGTGACAGGTCAGTACGCTACTGTCCATCTCAGGCATGCAACAATTGTCACTTCCTGCTTTGCCCTGGGATGGTAGAGATCTGTCCCCACATGGTGCAAAGCGCTTTGGTGATATGTAGATGAGTGGTGAACAGTGTTATCTGCAGCAGGATGACGCACATCGGTTGATATGAGACAGCCCAGTTCTACCCATAGTTACGTGCTCTCATAAAACTAATTTTTGTTCCTGATACACCAGCATTAAAATTCAAGAGCTCACGTCAAAAGGCATGTTAAATGGCAGTGTAATGTGTGCTCCTAAAATAGGGTAAGATTTCAGACAGTGTCAAATTAATCTTGCTGGAAGTTTTAAAGAAGTTAATTTCTTTGGGAAGTTTTTAGCCCTGGGGTGAATATCACAGCGTAGTAACAGTGCAGCTGATGGAAAGACCCTTGAGGCTAGAGCGCAGAGGTGCTAGCGCTAGCTGAGGTAAGGGCTTCAAGCTTCTGAATTTTACAAGTTTGTTAACGCATACTGGTCTTGGCCCATCTCTCTGTCTTTTGCAGGCTGAACGGCTCCCTGTCTGCTCACCCTGAGAAAGATGAATTGATCCTTTTTGGAGGTGAATATTTCAATGGCCAAAAAGTAATGTATACTTCCATTTTTCTTTATTCTGCCCCCTCCCCCTCACCTTTTATTGTAATTTGCATGAGTCTCATTTGGAGCAAAGATTCAAAGCAGCAGTCATAAAATATGTATTTGTCCCTGAATGAGAGCAAAATAGCCTTTTAATTCCACAGTGATACTGTCTCATGCCTGAATAGTTGGCAGGAAGGAGACATGCTAGAACCTATTAAGGAGTCGGAGTGATTGTCTCGGCATCAATATTTCAGGGCTTCATAATTTCTCCAGACGTAATAGTAGCCATATCTGCCCCTCATCTTTGATAACTATTGAAGTGTCCTTTATCTTCTGCCTCTGAAAACAAGATACTTCTGCAGTTTTGCAGCTGGCAAGGCATTGCTTGCCTTGGAGATGAGTATGGTGGCAAATACGTGCAAGCAGGTGCTCTTCTTTCTAAATTTCTGCAAGTTGCAAGTGTTTATTATGCTTCTGGAAACAAGTTGGTATTTGTAGACCTGAGAAGTTGTGCATATTCTAGCCTGAAAACTGAAGCCTGCTAAACATATTTGGCCCTATATTTAGAATCACTCTATGTGATGTGCTAAATAAATTCTGCTTGCTTCATTACCTTAAGGGGTTCACGTCTCTGGAGTTGAGCAGCGCTTTGGGCAGCTTTCAACTTTGCGTCTATGTTAAGCTCCGGCTTCCCAAGTCGTCATATCTCAAGCTGACTTGGGCTTTACCTCAGGTCTGGGAAGGAACAGTCTAGTCCTGTGGTTCATGCTGGGAAAGCTGCTGACTCCCGGTCTAGTGGAGGAGGCTGTTGTCCTCCTTCCCCGCCTTACAGAGGCAGTTGAACTTCTGCTTTGCAAAGCTGGTGCTGTGCCTCTTCTCCCCTGACACACAGGTAACCTTCAGAGGAGCCTGTGCTTGGACAGACTGATCCTGTTGAGTGGAGAGCCCTGGTGATGCATGTTTTCCTTTCCTTTTTAACAGACGTACCTGTATAATGAACTGTACGTTTACAGCATCCGAAAGAACAGCTGGACTAAAGTAGAAGTCCCCAACCCACCCCCTAGGCGATGCGCTCACCAGGTAAAGTTCAGGGTGGCAGAGCAGCACTTGGAATTGTTCTCATGCTGCCCTGAAGATGAATGGGAGTTGCACTTGCTTCCAAGGGTTTCTGGCTTCTCTGCGTCCTCCTTGTCGTGGGTTGCCAATAGTGTCACCACACCTTTTGTACTGAGCGGGTCTGGAAAATCCTGTCCAAGCTGCTTGTGCTCTCTGATCACTGGGTGGCCTTGCCTCTGGAAATGTTAAGTGGTAGAATCAGGGTTTGGGTTGTTGTAGCTGGGGGATCAGCACGACTCAAACAGAACTAATCGGGGGCAACACCACTTTCGACTTTCGAAGCTAGTGCAGCAAGAGAATCCATCTGGGGACCAGCCCAAACATCCATAATCCCGGAATGGCCTTGGGATTTTAAAAATCTTGGTCAGGATGTAACTCAGAAGTTGACCAAAGTGCTGTGAATGGCCGAGTTGCCGTGCATGATTATTTTTTTAATGACCGCAGGTCTGCATCTGCAGGCATTACAGATGTTGCCACTCCAGCAGTATGAAAGGTCCATCAGTGTAAGGTATCCCTACTAGCATGTAAAAAATTGGGCTTTGCCAAGTGTCCCAGCTGTACAGCAGGATGGACCTCTTGCACTGACTGTGTGTGTCATGCCTTTGGGTTGCGATCTTTCCTTGGCAGATGGGCTGTTTTTCTTCTGTGGCTACCACAGCAGCAGATGAAGTTACTTTCTTACTCATGGCCAAAGCTCTTTAGAAGTTGCCATTGAGATCCAGTACTCTGGGAAGGTTCATAGTAGACCCTTGTTAGGCTGCACCTAAATGCTAGTCGTGCTGAGTTCCACGTGCCTCCTTGGGTTGAGAGGCTCCAACTGGTTACCCAGGCTACCTCACGGAGCTTAAAATTGTACTTGATTTCAGTGATCAAATTCCATAAGGAGACCAAAAATTCAAGTATTTGTGTACTTAAGTGAAAAGGAGGTGACTTGGTTGGTATGGAGTGAAGTGGTGCGTGTTTTGTTTGTTGGTAGCCAGCAGGTGGCTGTCTAGCCGTTGAATCTAAGCTGAGCGTGCAGGTTGCGCACTAGGGAGTTGCAATTGGATTATAATAGAAATAAAATGAGAAACCTATCTGAGGAGTTCTGCTTCAACAGTAAATTTTCTATCTGATAATTAATTACTTTTGAACAGGAGACTGTTCAGGCCCATTAACTGACTGGTTTGTTCTCTTCCCTCTGACTTTCTTTTTAATGCATGTTCCTCGTTAGCTGAAAGGTAAACAGAAGTGTGTCTGTGGGTTGGTATGTGCGTGTTTGCAGTCTCATTTCTCATCTCTGGTCTCTGACACAGGGTCCTTCGTTTGAGTTGCCCTGGCTGCTTCATTGCATCAGTTCAATAAAGCTGAAGTGAGAATAGCAGGGGACCAGCCTTGTCAGTTATCTGAGGAAAGGGCTTGATGTGATGACTCTGGAGCCAGCTCTTCAAAAGGTCACACACGAGTATAAGCAGGCTGTTGTATATACTTTGCACTTAAATTTTTAAGCGCTAGTTACCCATGAAAATCAGGCATATATCTCCTTTGGTTAGGTAACTTCATGTTCCCACAAATGCTTCTTGCAAACACACCCAGAATTTTCTCATGTGTTTAATTCCTGCATGCCTAGGCTGGCTTATGTCAGGACATGGTCAAACGCCTGATGCTAAAAATCTCCTTCCCCGCTGTCTGCGGGATTAGACAGGGAGGTAGCGAAGCCCCTCTGAAGAGAGAGATCATTATCTCAATTTTGGTCTGTGGTAGGAATGCTGGAAAAACATATATAAAAGAGTTTGTTTATAGTGTAGCAACCTCAGGAGGTCTCAGACATGGAATAAGCTTACACGTTTGCTCAGGTTCCTTTTTGGGGCTCGTTTCTTTTTCTGCCTGGTCCCTGTGCAGATAACTTCAATTAAATGGAGTCTTGCACTTCTCTCCCTGCCTCTTAACTGTCAACTCCTGTACCAGCAGGGTATTTTGGTGCTGCTCCTTGCAAAAATAATATATAAAACAAATCCTTTTAACGCTCTCTGCTCCTCGCCTTGGACAAAGCATTGGCAGTCTCCTCTTGTCCAAGTGCTGCATGTTTTCTTCTGTGTTTGGTTTTATTTCTTCAGAGGCAGAAGCAATGCTTTTCGGGCCTTGAGAAAGTTCAGGTTTTAACTTGTGCTACAGCTTGGTTTCTGTACCAGTTATTATTTTATAATCTACAAAGTGCAAATACAAATGTATAAAGGGTAGCGGTACGCTGCCAACGTCCTTTTCCAACGTTCCCCTCCATTACTGTGCCTGCCCTGTGGTGGGATATCACCTGTGTTTTAGAGGCAGGAAATGGCCCTTTTCTTCACGCGTCTTGGAGTTCCTCAGCCACCAGCCTGTCATCTGCAGGATGCTATTTACGTGACGAAACGATGGGTGAACTCTTCCCAAGCCTTAGCTGTGGAGAGCTTCCCCTTTTGCTGAAGAACGATTTGGAGTATTGCTATCAAACTAAATCCCAAGGTACTTCCCAGCGAACGTTGGATTCATCTTGGGATTCAAGATACTGGGAGGAACCCAGCTTCTTGGCCAATTTTCCTTTGCTGTAGGGAAGGTGCGCTAAACAATTGAGTAACTTTACATTTAAAATTCCCCTTCCCCCAGCCCCAGAGAGCTGCCGTTGCCAAGCAGTGCAGCAGCAGCCGCTGCCACTTGTCTGCTCTCTGGAATTCAGAGGCAGCTGCACGTTTGACTGATAAAGTTCTTCTGTCTCTATTTTCTGGGCTCTCTTCTGATCCAGCTCTTCATTCTTATCCTGGCAGGCAGCAGTGGTGCCCACAGGCGGAGGGCAGCTGTGGGTGTTTGGTGGAGAGTTTGCATCTCCCAACGGGGAGCAATTTTACCATTACAAGGATCTCTGGGTCCTGCATTTGGCTACCAAGACCTGGGAGCAAGTCAAGTAAGTGATGTGTTCTGAATTGAATGATGTTGGCCTCATGAGGAATTGTGCTGGTATGGCCCGAGTCTGGTTCCTTGTACGGTCCTGTGATTTCCCAGCTGTCTGCCCATCTCTCCCTTGAGCTCAGAGATGCCCAGGCTAGAAATGGTGGAGAGGACAGCTTCCAGGAATAAGTGGAAATGAGAGACATGTTCTGAGAACATCAGGCCAAAGCCGTTTTGTGTAATAAATGATTTTTGGAGCATGAGTGTACTTGAGTGTTGTCTGATTGAAGAAAAGAGCATCAAGAAAGGCAATCTCTGCCCCAACCAGGGCAAGTGTAGGTGTGCAACTTGAAAACAGCCCTTACTTATTGCTCCATCTGTCTAGGCTCATGCTGGGCTGTACAAGAACTTGAAGGATCTCACCCCGTTTTACCACTGCTTGAGGAAAAACAGCTTTAAGTATCTATCCACAGAGCCAAGTTCACTCCTGGTAACTCCTGGTAACATTTGCTGCCTTAAGAAAGATTCAGATCCATCAAGGAAATTAGGTGCTAAAAATCCTGTTGATTTTTGACAAGAATTAAGGTGCCTTAAAGTCTTTTGTGGTTCTGGCCTAAAGTCCTCTGCTAATATTGCCTTAACCTTTGGCTTCTAGGCTTTGCTACTCACATTTCTATTTGCATGAGAGGAAAAGAGGTCTGGTTGGTCAACTGGTAGACTGAGAGGCAGGAGACGTGGCTTTGGTTCCAACTCTGCCATAGACCTTCTCTTGGACCTTGGGATAGTCTTGGCTGCAGGGTTAGGCAGAGGACAACTCTGGGTGGGCAGGTGGCCCTCAAGCTGGCCGTACGCTGGGGAGCCGTACGCTGGGGAAAGCAGCAGCTTTTGAGCAACACTTATTCATCAGCTGCTCACCCTGCCAATCTCCTGGGCATGAACTGTAGCCCCTGTTTCAGGTGGGGAGCCCTAAATCTGCCTGGGCTGATGGCTTTTTGCCCTGCGTACAAAGTGTGGGTGCCTGTGGTCTGGGCCTGTCTCTCTTGGCACAGTAATTGAGAGGGTGATTTAGGAGCGAGCTATGCAGAGATGGATGCCCTGGCGCATGCCTGAGGCCACGCAGTGAGTCGTGGAGCTTATCTGCCTGTTCCCCCTCCCTGCAAAATGGGAACGTTGATACTGCCTGGCAAGGGGGAATTTGGAGGTTTAATTTTGCTAATATTAATATAGCACTGAAGAGACCCCAGCATGGAAGGTGGGGGCACATAGAGACTGCAAGAGCCGATGTGCAAAAACCCCTATGAGTTGAAAACAGACTGGGTTCAGAGGATGTTTCACAGCACAGGCTCCTGGCAGCTGACCCTTCTGCTAGGTTCCAGGGATTGTCCTTTTCAGTACCTCTGGGAGGCTGAGGGAAGACTGCTCAGTTCCTAGGCAGCTGGTTTCTATCCATCAGTGTGATTTCCCCCCCCCCCGCCCCGACCCGCTCCAGACCTTGCAGTGTTAATCTAATAACAGCTGTAATTTGTCATGCTACAGGAAGCCAGCTTTACTCCAGTCAGCCCTGCTTGACTTTGGGAAGTGGGGATGAGAGAAACCATCCAAAATGATGAAGGGCTCTTTAAGAGGTACAAGAATTAAAAAGACCTGTCACTTTGGAGGCTGATCTGCCTATTGTTGTTAGGCAGAAGCTGACGTAATGACAGTGACTGTACCCCTCCCAGCTTCCCCAAAATAACTTCTGAATCCCTTGCTCAATCTCATCCAAATAAAGGGGGCAGAATTTGGATGTGTTATGTCCCTACCAGTTTCATGAAAGCAGGCAGGAGGGTTGGAGGGGGGAAGGAAGCAATGATTCCTTTAGCATCCCTGCTGAGAGAAAGGGTTGACGCTTTACCAATCTCTTTATTAGACACCAGAAAATCCTCATCAGAGAGCTGTGTTAATACCCAGCTGCAGGGAAAGCGAGGGCGGGAGGTGGTTCTTTGTGAGCCATTGGAGAATCCAGATGAAGCTTCGTTAGTTCCACCACTGATGGCGCCAATTGTTCTCTTGTGGGTTTGCAGATGCGTTGCTGTAGAGTTGATTTAGGGTTTTCCACTTCCCAAACAAATACTGCAGTGCCTGACATGCCTGGGAAGAGGAAATCAGGTAGCTACAGGGTTCTGATTGGCCTGTGTCTTATCCCATATGGGAGGGCAGCCTGAGGGCACGTGCTCCCTCCCTGGAGCCGAGCACGAAGTTCACAGGTGCTGCAAGTTGCAGGACACGGTTATCAGTCCCAGTCCCCAAGCAGACTAAACCATGGCAAGAGAGCTTGTTTCAAGGTTGTTACAGATTGTTATGGAGAGCAAGGAATGAGCCAGATTGGCAAGGTGAGTTCCTAGATAGCATGATAAGCAGAAGCAAGTTCTACATATCAAGCTCTCTCAGCTACCCAGAGATACCCTCTGTCCCCAGGCATTGATTGTCACACGTCATCTGTGGCTGCCATCCCACAGTGAAAGGATGCATTTGGAGACATTGATGCTTCGTTGTCTCTTAATAGATAAATGGATGGACATTTCCTAAGTCATTGTCATAAATGATGTGGGTAGAAGGCCCCTGGAGAGATGATCTTTCTTCACTTCCAGCCCCGTGG